ACATCATTAGCTCCTGTGACCTGAGAACTACCCAGATGTGCACATCAGCTCCTGTGACAGCTGTAGGTTGGAGGGCCCGAAGCAAGCTCTTTACCTGGTGTTTAGACTGAGCAGAATTTGGAGTTAATGGGATGGAAGAGTGTAAAGGTGATATTTAAATTATGCATGTGCAGCAGGCTTTCTCGAACCACCAGCCCCCAAATCATGACACGGAGACTTATTACTAGTTATCCACGCTCAGCTTTAGTTTAGTCTTGTTTCTGGCTAACTTTTTAAACTTAAAGTAACTAGTCTCTCTTCATCTATGTTCTGCCTCGGGACTTTTCACCTTTCTTTCATTCTGCAAGTCCTACTTTCCTGCTTCCTCCATGTCTGGCTGACTAGCTGATGACTGCCCGGCCCCTGGAGTCTCACTCTCCTCCCTCCTCCATTTTCTCCTTCTCTCTCAAGCCTAGATTCCTCCTCCTACTTACTCTCTGTTTGCCAGCCCCGCCTATCTCTCTACTGCCTAGCTATTTGCTGTTCAACTTTTTATTAGACCTTAGGCAGATGCCTTAGGCAGGCAAGATAAAACAGCAACACATCTTTACATAATTAAACAAATGCAACATAAAGAAATGTCACTCGTCTTTACATAGTTAAATATTCCACAACGTAAGTGTAACACATCTTTACATCGTTAAAGTAATATTCCACAATGAGCATCTTATTTTATTATCATCTGCCTGCACGAAACAGAATGCTTTTGCAGCACAAACATGTAACTCTTTATTGGAAACCTCTGAGGTATATTTAGATGCCTTTGCAGCCAGGTAGGTCTCTCACCGCTTCTATACCATGGCCTAAGATTCCTCTTGGGAAAGCAGACCCTCCCAGTACCAGAGATCAGGGCAGATGGAAAAGTCTTTCTGGTTATGCAGAACTACTTATATTGTACTCCACCTCTCAGGGGCATGATTGGCAGGCCGAATCCTGACTGCCAGTCAGTGTTGAGTGGTTTGTTTGCTTTATTAGGAATCAGTGGTGTCATGGATTCTGACAAAATACTGCCGTTTCTGGATCTTACTGGGGCTGTTTTCTAGGAGATCAAATAGAAAAGGACTGTCTAGATCCGATATTCTAAAATCCTAAGAGGAGACTATAAGACAGTGCGTACAGTAGGCTAACCGCTTTACATTGCGACCTTTCCCATTAACCCCTGGCATTTACCAAATGCTTACTAGATGCCTCATACCATTGGAGTGACTCCTTTCAAAATCCTCTGTAAAGGGCTCTATTGATGACATCATTCCATAGGCAAGGAGCCCAGAGAGATTAAATGATCTGGACAGGGCTGCCTGCTTTGTTCAGAAGGAAGCGAGCAAGGACAACAAACCCATATTTATTACGGCTTTTAATGTGCCCTGGTTCCCTGAATGGGACTACAAGGTGGACTTTTGCCACTTGCATATGCCCAGTGGTATCTTGACCGGTCAAGGATTAACTTCATGCTCGCTCTTCCTGGGGAGATGTAAGAGATATGTTTAGGGGAAGTCCAGGTTTGGGGACCCAAGATTCAAACTCTAGTTTAACTATGTAAGTCCTTAGCTCCACCGACTGACCTCCTTAAGCATTAATTTACCTCGCTAAAAAATGAGTAGTAAAGGAAGGTGCTTGTCACCCTCATCAGGCACTGCTATGTGTGGTGTGCAATGAATACTTGATAAATATGCGTCAGTGCAAATCCCCCAACATACCACCTGCTGGCCCTGCAGTGAAGGCAGCACAGCACCCAGGCATTATCAGCTGATGTATCAGCAGCAGCACAGCATCCAGGCATTATCAGCTGATGCATCAGCAGCAGCACAGCATCCAGGCATTATCAGTTGATTTATCAGCAGCACAGCATCCAGGCATTATCAGCTGATTTTTCAGCAGCTCAGTATCTATCTAGGTATTATCAACTGATGTGTCAGCAGCAGCACAGCATCCAGGCATTATCAGTCAATTTATTAGAAGCACAGCATCCAGGCATTATCAGCTGATTTATCAGCAGCATCTAGGCATTGTCAGCTGATGTACCAGCAGCACAGCATACAGGCATTATCAGCTGATGAATCAGCAGCACAGCATCCAGGCATCATTAGCCGATGTATCAGCAGCAGTCCTAGTCCCATACCTAAAGAACCTTCCAACCTAAGTGTGCTGCATGGGCTTTCAGTCCCAGAAGCTCCTATGCAGGGCTCAAATTCAACAGGGTCAAAGTTCTCACTGATCCTCATGTCTTTTGTACGGTTCCCTCCACCCACAATGCCTCATTTCTGGAGCCTCAAATCTTCCTGGAACCTCAATTCAAAGTCTCTCTATGATTCAATCCTTACCTGTCCTAGGAGATACTTTCTTTTTAATTTTCCTCCAATTGATTGTGATCTGCCTTTCCTTAGGGCACAAAATGTTTTTCTCTCTGTTTCTCTCTGTCCCACTCAAGAAGCATGTACTTGTGTTCATTTTTGAACTGTGTGGACTAGAGCTTACATTTTAGCTCCCACCTTGGACTCCTAGAAGGTAGAGGAAGGGTAGAATTTTCCCACTCCCACAGTATCTTGTATGAGACAGGCGTTTTGTACGTGATTGTCTCTGAACATCTTTATATATTGAGAATAAAATTATATTCATTAGTCTAACATTTTACGACTTTAATGTGATTAGCTAAAATGTAAATAATGATAATTTTTAAAAATTAATTAAAATACAATAATTATATCACTTCTATTCTTCGTTTTCTTCCCTCCAACCCCTCCCATGGCCCTCACTCTCTCTCTCAAATCAATGGCTTTTTTTCTTTAAATATTATTGTTAGTTATGTATAAGCATAAATATATAAGTATGACTTCCTGAGTCTCTCAAGTGTTGCTTGTGTTTATATGATTTCAAAGTTGACCGCTTTGTATTGGATAATCAATTAGGGGACTCACCAATGGGAGAGGCTAACTCTCCTCTCAGAAGTCATTAGTTACCTGCAGATTGAGGACTGCTGACCATGAGACTTCCCCCTTCCATGTTGGCAAGTCTACTTGGTGTTGGCCTTGTTCAGGTCTTGTTAAGACAGCCACATGTGAAAGTATCACAGATGTAGTTTCCCTGTCATTTCTAGGAGACACACTCTCACAGCAGACTTCCTGGTCCTCTGGTTCTTGCCTTCCTACTACCGCCTCTTGCACAATGTTCCTTGAGCTTAGGTGTGAGAGTTCTATTGTATACGTACCCATTAGATCTGGGCACCCATGATCAGTATATCTCTGCACATAAAAAAGGCAATTTAAATATTTCTTTAGGTTTAAATTTTCATATGGATGTGGGTATGCTTGTGTATATGTGATCTCCACATCTGTGCGTGGCATGTGCATGTATGTGTGTGTGTGTGTACAAAAGGAGGGAGCCTGATGTCCGAACATCTACATGACACAGCCTCAAGCAAATTCCACATGAAAGTCACTGTCCTACTTTTATTATGACATTATTATTATTTTATTTTATTTTATGTCCCATGTCTTTTCTTACTGTTAATGTTAACAGTGTTCTTTCCCTGGAAATTCTAGAGCATTCCCTAAGTTCTGTTCTTAGACATTCCGTTTCTGACTGGCTGTTGGTTTAGTTGTTGTTGTTGTTGTTTTGTCCTGGTTTTGTGGGTGGTTTTGCCTATTGCTTTCCTTGGGGTGTCACCTGAACAGGGATTTGTAGAGAAAGTGGCCGTCTCAAGCTTTTAGGATGCACCACCTGCTTTCCGAGGTTGTCCTGGAAATACCCTTCCATGGTGGGGTGTGCGTAAAGCTACACGTGGTAAGTTAACAGCTGAAGCAATGATGCGTTCAGGTTTTCCTGTTTTGATCACCCTTGGCTTTGCTCCTAAACCACCGTTCTTCCTGTGGCCTCTATTAGACTCTGTATCTCATGGGTTCTTCCCTTCCCTGTTCAATACCTTGCTCAGGGCTTTATTTCCTCAATAATTTAATTGTTTCGATCTATTATTTAGCTTTTAAGCTACAATGTCTTCACCTATATGTGGACATCCTAAGAAAAACACCCCCTCACTAGACTGTCATATGAAATTATGTTTACTTGATTTTTTAAAAAATCCAAGAAATATGTATTCTTTTTCTTAACAGAGATGAATTGAGAATGAATAAATTATGTAAATTTTGAGCAAACACTTGTATCAATTTTCTTTGATGTTTATGTTAAAACCTCATAAAGCAGTAGTTTGAGGATCTAGACAGCTCAGCTGTATCTGATTTGCTTTTGTATTATATGACTTTAGATTCCTAACTGTTTTAGACCAAAGTCTTTGAGAAATTATATTTTAGAGTAATTTCTATTGGTTGTGATATATCTCAGTAAAATATACCCTGACTCATACCAATGTTGGGACAGAGGAAGAAGCGAGGTTCTCAGTTGTGGTGAGACATGTCTGGTTTCTAGTCTGCCCTTCAAGGTAGACTTTATAAATGACACAGCCCTGGATTCTCAAAGGCGCTCCCCACTAGAGATTCCCGTGGGTAAAGAAAATTCTGAGTGCTTGTCCGGTATTCCATCATCTCTACTGAGATCAGTGGGGGTGTTTCTCACCACACCGTCCTTGGAACTGTTGAGGTTTGCTGAAACTCACCCCACAAATGCAGTTCTTAGGGCTTCAGTGAAATCCTTACCCTCTAGTCCCCATGGCACGCAAGGGGTGAGGCAAAATATATAATTATACATGAACAATTCTCCATTAGTCTCGGCTCCCTGAGCCTTTAAATATCCTTCCATAGACCATGTGGTGAGTTAGCGTCACTGAATGGAACCTACTATTATGTCCCTCTTTCAACCAACCAACCAATCAAGAAAGCAAAACCTTTCCCAGATGCACGAGCTCATATCTTTGTTTCACGGCTGTTGTTGTATTACAAGCCTCCCCAAGCTTAGTCATCTAGACAATTAGTGACATTTTATGATTTTATAGGTT